AGAACAGCGTAGAAAGAAATGTAGGAGGCATTTTCCAAAGTTGGGCAAACAGACCAAGTTGTTAATTTAAGTAAATAATTTAATCTACTACTACCCAATCTTCCGTTTTTTATTTTATTCTATCAATTTTTCCCCAGTTTATTTATTTGCTTATTATCTTAAAAAGGAATGTAATTTTGTATAGTATATCTCTGTGGTAATAAAATTACTATAATCTACGAAACTTAAAACTATAACTCGTACGAATTAACTTGAGACCTGGGCCGATGACGTAATTGTCAATGTACGGTGTGCAAAATAATGCGTCGTAATATTTTTTTTTATTTGCATGAGATTATTAATAAAAACAAAATAAAATGTTCTGGCAAGGGGTGAAGTAATAAGTGATATACTGTTGCCATTTTTATATATTTTAAATATTTATTTTTTGTAATATTATTTTTAGTTAACGCGTCAAGGAAGGACAAAGAAATAAACATACACACTTTCTCATTTATAATATTATTAATTTATTTATTATACACTTTATTGCACTATAAAAAGTGTTACAGATTCGTACACAATAAAAATACAAAGCATAAATTACCAACAAACAGATAAAATAACGTTCAAGTATAACAAAAACAAACAAAAGTCCAAACCAAACAACAAACAATTATCAAAAATATCGAACTAGAGTCGAGACGCGTATCCGTAACAAAAATGTTATCGGTACTGAGCGCGCACGGCCAGCGCGGGACGCGGTGCGGGGAGTCGGGAAGGGGGTCGCATTCCAGCGGAGTCTCAAGTTAATTCGTACGTGTTGTACTTTACTAACTGTGTGTTTTTGCGGGAACTTGACCGTCGACGGATTTTCGTTTCTGTTTTATCGGTTAAACAATGGATTGAAGTGGATTTTGATTCGTAAAAGTGATGCGATTTTGTGATTTAAATGTCTGCGCGTGTAAACTATTAGAGAAAATGACGAAACAAGTGCTTCGATGTTAATAAAAACTCAAGTTATTTTGATCGGTTAGGCGTCTTATAAATTTGAGTTACTGTCGTCATGGACTGTCTGCTGGATAGACAGTTTACTCTCTTTCTATCTAAATAGAAAAGGCCGATTGAAAATGTAGAAGAGACAGAGAATAGCGGAAGCAGTAAAATTTTGTAATAATGGAAGATTCGCCCGCCTGGTTTCACGATCTTTTTTAAGAAGATGTCGGGCTTGTATTGCAGCTCAAGGACGGCAATTTGAAAACCTTTTGTAAAATAAGTAATACATTTTGTCATAAAAACGAAACTGACTGTCTTAATTTTATAATCATTATTTTATTACTTTAGTTTGTATTTGCGTCTGTGTCTCATTAGCGTCACTATCTGTCTCGCTCACACTTTATGGAATGTCTCTATCTCATTTAAACCACGCTGTGGTCATTAGGAACGCTTTGGTTGCACTAGAATCGTTTTAATGTAAGTTCCAAAAAATTGTTAAAAACTGACTTTGTTTAACAAAATTTTTTTATGGCTGATCTAAGAAATAATGGAGTAAGTGTTATATCACGTTAGAATCCTTACTAAATTCGCTAACTTTAAAAGCTACTTGCCAAACTGGCGTAGTACAATTTTTTTCCAGGACGGTCAGTTGAAATAGTGCGAAAAACTAATTCTGAAAACTTGGTACGGTATAAAATTACATTTTCTTTCAAGCTGGAGTGATCGGCACAGGGTTTAGGATTACAGGTTATAGAACAATGACTATATAACCACTTGACTGCGCATACAATCCCCCGACGCTCGAAAACTATTAGTATTTTGTCGCCTATGCATATGCTATGGTACTATTAACCATTTTAGTATTGTCCAAATGTTAGACCTGTGTGCACGCTATATTAATGCAAATTTTTATAACTTTTATGCAATTATAATGCATCCAAAATGCCTTCATGCGCAATGAAGTGGTGTGGAAAACATTCCAGGACAGATGTCCAAAAAGAATGGAGTAACTTTTCATTGCTAAGTAAAAAATACGAAAATTATTGTTGATTAATTCAGATTATGAGCCACCGCAAGGGTCTATCTAAAACGGTGGCTGGGTAAATGACGACATGGTTGAGTCGCGCGTTGATGTCTTTTGGAAAAGTCTCGTTCTATTATTAGACAATTCTAATGCTTCTATCCCTTTCTTTCCCTTTGTATGTTGATCGTAAACATTAGTACCTTACTGTAAACTTTAATAGCTGAAAGTCGATATCGAAAATAATAAAATTAAAATTAACAAAAAGATTATTCAATTCACACACTGTGAAAAAATACTTATCTACTTTTAACCGTCTTCAGAAAAAAGAGGACGTTCTCAGTTCGTCGGTATTTAATCCTAGTTAAAGTTTATAGTTACCTAGTTAAATTAGTTATATTGGTGTACCAAATCAGAACGCCCTACAATTTCAAAAGGACACTAAAGACAAGTTATTGTACTGATCCACTACAGTAACAGATATTTGTCGTCGTTGTAAAATTTTTATTAAGAAGGCGATCAATGAGAGTGGTTCAAAAGTGCTGTCTTCGAAATATAATGACAATTATTTTATAAGATCAGTTTTAAAATCTCTTATTGGGTATTATTGATTCCCGGATATTCATTTTCATAAATTTGAAATATAATCAACAAATCATTTAATTGAATTAGCAAGATGCATAATTAACAAATATGTAGACGCTTATTTTTTTTTTACAAAGAACAATCAGGACCCTTAAACTTTAATTCGAAATAAATATAACAAATTAATTCATTTTATCACAATAATATAATAAATACATGTTTTCGTCGTAACTGATTGATTTTGATTAAATGTTATTTCTATGATTTTAATTGAGTATTTTTCTTAATGATAAAATCCATTTTATCGATATCGAATATTTTTCTTTATCAAGAAGAGCAACCCCAACGATAGCCATAATAACGCAACTTGACCATTTGCAGCCACGCGTTCTTCCTCGTCCCCCGGCCCGCAGTAGTGAGTCGTGTGCTTAGATGAAATCTGCCTATACGCTCTCTAGTGGTTATATTCTCTATGTTATAGAAGCACTATTCAGCATGACGTAAGAGAAAAAAATTGGCAATAAGTAAATATTTGTAGCAACAGCAATGAAAAAACTGGCTCATGGTGTACATTTTATCGAAAAAGAAAAAAAATTACTATAATTTCTGAAATACATGACTTAAATTTTTTAAATATATTTCTGGTAACTAGTATGGCCTCGCCTATCAGAAAATTTCGGCTTGACGTCGACTTCTGGGACACCCGATTAACAGGACTGTTACATTTATTTACTATAATTATATTTTCGAACTTGTAGTTTAAATTATAATGTTAAATAAATCATTTAAAGTATTTGTATTTTATATTTTATTTCATTCGAAGGTTTCACTTCTGTTGCGTGCGAGCTGCACGCATGTGTTTTTTTAACTATGAGTAGAACTGCATTGATAGCATCTTGAAGGTCATCTGTCTAAGCCGGTATTCGAACCGATCTAAACGTTAATTTCGTAGTAGGTACCTACTATGAATTTGGGTTGTTTATATAGGTAAGCAACTCTTCAAGCATACGCAAGGGAAGCCGCGGGTAAAAAACTAGTCATCTAATAAATCTTTAAATAAAGTATAATATTCTTAATATCACTGCCCTTTTTAATTAATATTATGAATCCAGAATCTTCTTTTTCTTCGATTTTATTTTCTTCTTCCTCTGCCAATAAGCAGGCTATTACAACATTTTTTTAATAGCGATCCAAGCGATCAATGTCACTGTACCGTTTTACACTAGTGGTTGAAAAAAAAAACTGCAGAAGTTATTAGCAATACAAAAGAATTGCGTACGACGTGTACGGTCCGTACGTGCAAATGTGCGAGGCCATCCGAAAAAGCACATAAGGCTCGTACGGTGCGAATAAATGTGCGTTCAGCTTATGACAATTGTTAAATTGTATAGAATATTAACGTAGTCCATAAGCTTGGTTGAATAGAACCTAATTTGAATGTATTTCATTTTAATGCGTCATTCTATGGGTTATTTTATCGAACAAATTGGTTGACACTTGACTGGCCAGACTTATCATCTAGCGCTTATTTTAGGTACGTACCTAAAATAAGCGCTAGATGGCCTAAACGCCCATAATTTGATGTAACTGTCAGTAACTTATGAAATCGTGAATTTTAATAAATGTATTTTTATTCCTTATGGTTAATTTTTTTTATTTATTAAATGTGTTATTTAATTTTAATCGATTATTTTAAAAGTTACAAATTAAGTTATAAAACTAAAATTAAAATTGATTAAGTTATATCTATAAAGGGTGTGGGTGCGGCCCCCCACTGATAATTGTATTTCCGAGAGTACGCCAGCCGGTAGGTATATAACGTAAGACCTTGAGTGAGTGACGGAGCCCTGGTTCTGTATCGGGGAAAAACGCTATGACTACTCCCCTCCGGTACGCCGGTGGCCCGTGTTGCTCTATGATTTTGATAATCCTGGTATTATAATGGTATGTATAGTCTGTTCGCTTAGATACGGTGGTCTTTGTGTCACGCCGCCTTGGCATGTGCCGCATCTTATCATAGAAGTCGTTGAAATAACAAAGACTGCCATTTGCGTCGTACACCTGCAGAAAAATTTGGCATTCAAAGATGTTTTATAGGTCTTTAACAAAAATTGTAAAAATAATAAAATAACAGCGAAATAATAAGTGGGCCTTCGGGTGTTATGTATGTATTATAGTATTCTATGGGTGTACCGATAATATCTTAGTGAACAGATTACAATTACTCTAATAATACTGAGGTAGTACTTATAATCTGTGTGTTGCTAAGCAACCTTTATTAATACAAACATTAGTAATTGATTTATTACGTATGTAAATAAATATATCTACATTAAACTTATTACTGTTTAAACATTGCAAACACAAAGTTATAAATATCATATTCCATTTATTATATAATAAAAATATACAATAAAAAATGGTTACGTTACCAGAAATAGCAGAAGATATTGTAAATAAAACATTAGCACACGCAAATGACGATAATTCCCGGACGATTTTTCTGGTCGGAAGTAAATCAGTGGTAAGCAATCTATCAAACATTAGCGTATAATAGTATTTCAGCGTTATATATTCAAACATAACTCATCTAAATACAAAATTTCAAAAAATCGTTACAGCCGTTTCCGAAAAACAAATTTAGATAGATTAAGCATATTAATATGTACGAGAATTGCTCACTTAAGGTTTACGATGGTACGTTTTAAACAAAATCAAGTCTTCTCCGATTGTTATAGCTGGATTGGCGATCAAGAAAACATCGCGCGATACCTCATTACCTTTTCTCTAAAATACCCATCAAAACGTTACTTAATTATGTGATAAGATTCAAAATTCTGAATATTTGATCAAAATTTAAGCGTTACCCAAATATTAGTTTGAATTAAAGTAAACTAGACAGGTGTAAATTAAGTCAGGTATTATTATAAAACTAGCTTCTGCCCGCGACTTCGTACGCGGATCCTGTTGCTTATGCCAGCGACAATGGGGTCGTCAAAATCGAAGATCTGAAACGTCTGATGTCGAATTCTAAGAGCCCGGGGACGGGAAAACAACATGATGCGCGAGACTTATAATCTGTGTGTTGCTAAGCAACCTTTATTAATACAAACATTAGTAATTGATTTATTATGTATGTAAGTATATCTACAAATATATTAAACTTATTACTGTTTAAACATTGCAAACACAAAGTTATAAATATCATATTCCATTTATTATATAATAAATATACAATAAAAAATGGTTACCTTACCAGAAATAGCAGAAGATATTGTAAATAAAACATTAGCACACGCAAATGACGATAATTCCCGGACGATTTTTCTGGTCGGAAGTAAATCAGTGGTAAGCAATCTATCAAACATTAGCGTATAATAGTATTTCAGCGTCATACATTCAAAGATAACTCATCTAAATATAAAATTTCAAAAAATCGTTACAGCCGTTTCCGAAAAACAAATTTAGATAGATTAAGCATATTAATATGTACGAGAATTGCTCACTTAAGGTTTACGATGGTATGTTTTAAACAAAATCAAGTCTTCTCCGATTGTTATAGCTGGATTGGCGATCAAGAAAACATCGCGCGATACCTCATTACCTTTTCTCTAAAATACCCATCAAAACGTTACTTAATTATGTGATAAGATTCAAAATTCTGAATATTTGATCAAAGAAGCGTTACCCAAATATTAGTTTGAATTAAAGTAAACTAGACAGGTGTAAATAGTGCCTCCCAACGGATAGGTCTTAAGATGAACATGGACAAAACAAAGATCATGTTCAATGTCCATGTCACACCTATGCCGGTAGTTGTTGGGAGCACTATGCTCGAAGTTGTTGACGAATACGTTTACCTGGGACAAATAGTCCGACTAGGTAAGTCCAACTTCGACCGAGAGGTCAATCGACGGATTCAACTCGGCTGGGCAGCGTTCGGGAAATTACGGCATATCTTTTCGTCAGGTATACCTCAATCTCTAAAAACTAGATTGTACAACCAGTGCGTGTTGCCAGTGATGACTTACGGATCAGAGACGTGGTCCTTCACTGCTGGCCGTATGAGGACGCTTAAGGTCGCTCAGCGAGCTATGGAGAGGGCTATGCTCGGAGTTTCTCTGCGTGATAGACTCAGAAATGAGGATATCCGCCGTAAAACCAGAGTGACCGACATAGCCCAACGGATTAGTAAGCTGAAGTGGCAATGGGCCGGCCATATAGCTCTTATGCCAGCGACAATGGGGTCGTCAAAATCGAAGATCTGAAACGTCTGATGTCGAATTCTAAGAGCCCGGGGACGGGAAAACAACATGATGCGCGAGACGATTCAAGGCGTTCCAGATCTTTCATTTTTGTAAGTCAACAGGAAATGCCCATCAGACTAAACAACTTTTGCTAGGACGTCATTCCTATATATGTTATTATATCGCTGGGCTTTGGAGTTCCACAACAGGTGTTCCAGATCTTCAAATTTATTCTCACAGCAGAAAATACCCTTCACGTGGAATATTTTTTGCTATGACAACATTTTTATATCTTATAACTTTAGCTGGTCTGTTGCGGTTCTGCATCAGGTGTTCCATTTTCCAAAATAAATTATAGCCTATATGTTGCCTACACTTAACACCTATATAACAAACAACTTTTCATCCCGTATATTTCACCGATCCGGTGAAGAATTCTGCGTGTAAGTCTCCGAAGCGCGAGATACTGCGTGGCGCTCGCGATCGCTTGCTTGGCGTGTATCGCGCTCCCGATTGTTCTCGAGCGACCGAGCAGTCTCAGTGCGGAAAAGCTGAAGACTTAATCTCTGCTCTCTATCTGTATCCGTTTCGGAACCGCGAGATAAAGAATGACGCTCTCGGTCACGGGCAAGTCGTATCTCACGCTCCTGACTGCTCTCAAGTAATCAAACAGCCTCAGAGCGGGTATTCTGAAGAGTCAACCTCTGATCCCTTTGTGTAACCGTTTCGGATGCGCGAGACAAAGAATGATGATCCCAGTCGATATCTAAACGCATTTCTCGTTGTTCCACACTTTCCTGAGATCGAGAAGCACTAGTGCGGACTCGTTTAAATTCTAGTCGTAATTGGTGCTGCGTGCTAGTTTCTGCGGACAAACTTAGTGCATTACGCTCACGGATAGCACCTAGCCGTTGTTCACGGTCTGCGTCGGTTTCGAGAGATCGAACTAACCTGCGCATCTTAAGGTGCGCTTACACGAGGGCAATAATTGCTCGGCGACACAAATGGACCGATCTGGAGCAATTTCAAAGCAATGGAGCAAATTGCGGCAATTATTTCGGCGATATTGCTTCTAATTGCTCCAGATATTTCATATCGCTCAATGTCGCAGATACGAATTGACGAATATCCAATGGGCTTGAAAATTCCTAGCAATTTTTGTATATATCTCATTCGCACTTGTTTGTTTTGCGGCTTGCGGTAGCAAGATGGCAAGCCGCAAAATTATTTCAAATTTTATTTATTCAAAAGTAATTCAAAGTCTGTTCATGACATTCTAGTAAAGTTTTTTAATAATATATCATCTAATTCTTTACACAATGAAAATTGCGGCCTCTTTGCTAAAAACGATCGCACCCAGATACGGCTATTCCTTTTCTTTCTTTTTTGTTTTTGATTAATAATAAAAAAGCGCTACAAGCCGCCGCAGCAAGAACAATGTCGTCCATAGCGAGCGAATACTGAAATGCTCGTGTAGGACAGTATTGTCTAGTTGATGAAGTTGCGCCATATCGCTCAATATTGTATTGCGCAGTATTGATGCTTGTTGCCGTTGCCGTAAATTACTTGAAGTAGTCGTGACGTCATAGTTGACGAGTATTGACTGGAATTGAGCAATTTTAGTTGCCCGTGTAAGCGCACTTTTAGAAACCCTTGCGTTTCGAGACAGATTTGATATTTTTCTAAAAGGAACAGCTAAAATTTGTTCTTAATCCGATACTAACGATATTCAAAACAATGAAAAGTAATCGATAAGTACGTAAGAATTGCTAGTAACTAGAAAAATAATAATTATTCGCAGGAAAATAAAATACATCAACCAACACAAACAACAAATGTAACCCCCCGTTTCTACAGGATGAGAGCAGCCCATCGGCACCTATAACATCACTTTTTGGGAACGAAACCATAGCGCGATCTAACTCGACGCCAACGCCATCTAGTTAGAAAACGGAAACTACATATTATTTACCCAAATGAATTAATTAAATTATGAATTAAAACTAAATTGTTAATTTAACAGAGAAGTACATTATTATTTGCATTAAAAATTATGGTAACAGCAGCAAGGAACAAAACTAAGAATTGCATACTTAAATCAATTACCTACAACAAATGTTAGATACCAGGCGTAGTATAACCCCCCCCCCCCCCCCCCGAACGGGTTCCCGCCTTGTCGTGGCGGGGGGCTTAGTAGCCGTGGCTTGGTCTCCCACGGTGAACAAAGAGGAACCCACGTGGCTGGCCCGAGGTGAAGGGCCGGCCTGAGGTGGCCACTCCGAGTGGGCTTGGGGAGCCCACTTTGGATGTGTACTGGTGGACTGCAGCGAGTGGGGACTCGCGCACCCTCTACCGCTGCAGCCGAGGTGGAGTCGCGGAGGAAGAGGAGTGTCGGTATTGCGAGGCGCCGCTCTCCCTACCCTCCGCAGCCGAATCTTGGTTGGCGGCGGAGCCATAGACCAGATCCGCCGCTGGGGTCGGGAAAGCTAGTACTTCTAAGTGCTCGTTTTTCCTGGCCCCATGGCCTTTGTGCATCGGACGCGGGGGGCGTCTGTTGCACAGACATAATTGGAGGCCGTGGAGGAAGGCGCGCCATGTATTCTGGTACGCCTTACCTGGGAAGGAGAACGGGGAGGAATTCTCCTCTCCCGAGGAGGTGCTGCCATGGGGCGGCAGGCGCTAGTAGGGCCGCGGAAGTGTGCGAAAGCGTTCCCGTAGCCCTGCCAATATGCGACAAAGGTGAAACACCATGGGGTTTTAGTCGGTGCGAGTCCGACATAACCCGTCCTTGCCCCCGCGCGGCGGGTATGCGTAGGCATTTCCCCATGTAAAAAAAAAAAAAAAAAAAAAAAAAAAAAAGGCGTAGAATAACCAAGCGTGAGATATAACTTAGAACCAAAAGTTTGACTTGACTTCATGATAGTGTAACTTTTTGTACCACCAATCAATCTGTTTCGTAATATTAGTGTGAAACTCTCCAAACAATTAGATAAGACATGTAAAGTTCTCAGATTTCCTAATGCACATAAAAAATGCAAAAATTAAAAAAATACGATTTTTCGAAACAATATTATAAGAATTAAACTCGCACCATTTAATGTGGTAAACGGTCGCCTGACCTTACCGCTAAATTCTCCGTTGACATATTATTGTTAAACAGCTGTTCCCTTGCAATTTATAATATTACTGCCCCGCTCCTTTATAAAAATAGCGTAATTATTATGTTCTCAGAGTTAAATTTTAATTTTTATTTTAACTAATAAATAACATGTCATTTTGTGCATTCAATTATTTTGTGCATTCAATTACGAAGAAAAACCTTTTAAAATCAATATTGTTTACCTCCTATAACATACTGCGTGATAATATGTAGCCTAAAGCCTTCCTTGATTTACAAAGAACATTTTTGCTGAATTTCAATTCAATCTATCCAGTAGTTTTGGCGTGAAGCCGTACCATACACACAGGCAAACAGACATACAGACAAACAGACAAAAATTCTAAAAAATCACTTTTTGTCATCAGTTACGTTTTTCTAACAAAAGCCACTTATTTTTTCTTGAAAATTCTCAATGTACAGTTTTTCTTTCGTTACTGTTTTATTACTAAATAAGATAAGAAAAAGAATAAGAATAAGATAAGATAAGAATAAGATAAGAAAAATATAATATCTCGTTTTATTTTTTTAGGGAAAGTCAACACTTCTTAATAGTTTCCTTGAGAAAACCGACACTCCTCGAGAGACGTTAGTATTGGAATATTCATATGGAAGAAAATCTAATCAAAAGCAAGGAATAGAAAAAACAATATGCCACGTATGGGAGTATGGTGGTAAATTAGAAATGATGAAAAATGTTTTAACGTCTATTCCAGTATACAAAAAAAGCTTTTTTGTTATCATGGTTGACTTGAGCAAAATAAAGACAATTTGGAATACGTTACAGATATGCACAAAAATTGTTTCAGACTATTCCGATTGTACACATTTTGAGGAAATAATAATTATAGGTGGAAAGTATGACCTTTTTAAAAATTATGGTAAGTTTATTCGAGTAATGATGTGTGGTTAATGCCCAATCAGAACACAAACACGTACTGAGCTCCCTCTCCCATCCGAAATTTTATAAGTCCCCAACCATACAGGGCGCAACAAATTCCCTTTCCCCCCAATAAATTCCAGCGTTTTACCACACAATCTACACAACAAAAAACGCACCGCTAGCGTAACAAAAGCCAATTCTTGATAAAGGGAAAAAGCCGACAACAAACCCGAAAACCCAAAACCCCACAAACCAGAGAAAAAAAAACACCCCCAAACCCCCCAAAAAAAAAAAAAAAAAAGGAAGAGGGGGGAAAAAGGCTTGTCCCCACAAAAAAAAAAAACAACCAACAAACCCCCCCCCCCTTCCCCCCCCCACAACCTAGTATATCGATTTCGGTGAAACCTGTACTGACGATCAGACGACATTCTGCTCTAGGTACGCCATGAGGTGGGCGACCAATATACGTTCCATAGTCAATATTCAGACACTATTCCAGTCCTGAATGAGAGCCGGAACAAGAGGTATTATAGTGTCAAACGAGAACCTTCCTTCCCTTTCAGTTGTCGGTTCTTCGAGCTATATGTACGTGGTCTATGGTACTAAATCCTATTTAGAAACCGGCTTGTTCGGGAGGCTAGAAATCGTCTGGTCTGCGTGCGAGATTATTCGTAATGAAACGAGAAAACAGTACGTAGACCTGACTCAAAACGGAAATCGGTCTGTATTCTTCAATATACCGTTGCACCTTTCTTGGAGTACAAGTTCACGGCAATTCTGATCCACGTCTCTGGAATAATGCCGTCATGGAGGACAAAATTGAAGAGCTTGTAAAGGACTTTAAGTACTGGTTTTAAACCCATTTTCACGGGCTCCAACTGTAATTCCATCTTTGCCTGGAGTCTTGTTAAGTAAGATTAGAATGACCCTCCCCCCTCTTGCAAAAGGAGGAGTAGGGTCATTCTTATCTTACTTAGACTGATGTCAAGAATTTCATTGCAATATTTTTAAATGTGATATGCTCTTGGACTTCATACTTGCGTGTAGTTAAACAATTATGTGAACCTCTGTCAAATACCGAAAATGACGCTGCCAAATCGGTCTTAGACAATGGGCTCTTTTCTGTTGATAGTTCTCTGGCAAAGACTTTGAAGCCTTGGTTCCGCTTAACCGCTTCTTCAGTAAAAGCTGTATTGCGATGGCGTAGGTTACGCCGCTTGCATTTGATGATCTGTTTGTTCAGTTACCTGTATGCTGTCATATATGCTGAAGATGTCAGCTTCATTTCCCGTCTATCAGACATTAGATCAAAAGGGTGATCGGAGAGTTTCAGGTTCTTCTGCCGTAGATCTTCAACTGCAACTCTATCCACTTGATGGCTTAAACCTCATGAACATCTTTTTCGAGATTGTCATTCATATCTACATAGACCACATACACATACACACCCTTTAAAAAATTAAACAGTAGACCGAGAAATACAATCTGTTACATTTTTCTATGTGGACTATGAGATATTCTACGATTCCGTCAAAATTTGAACGATGATAAAGTCCTTTCAGCGTTGCCAAGTTGTCTGTTATACCAAGATACCAATAGTCTACATCGAAGTATTTAAGGATTTGTAAAGTAGGGCTACGATGCCTATCCGAGTACATAACCAAAGTACGTAACCTACTGTGATATTTACGGTGTGCGCTTACTACCACGGCTATAGGAAGATACCAAAAAACCTAAAATTTTAGGACAAGAAAATCCTAAATTATTTTCTAATACTTTAGGATTTTCTTGTGTGACAGTAGATTTCGGATACGCGTAGGCTATATTTATCTTATTAATAACTAGCGATCTGCCGCGGCTTCACGCGGGTGATATCTGGATTTTACAACGGCGCCACCTACCAGATCCGACTATGTCTATAACCTTCGCGTAAATGTAGTTAGCAATAAGTTGACAAAGTTTTAGCGCAATCTGATATAAGGTATTGCAGCGCATAAAATACGAACAAACGAATATTATTTTATACTTATATGTTAGAAGAAGATATAAAAACATTTTATTCAATAATTATAATCTATATTTTTTTAGACAGTGAAATAAAGAAATTAGTTTGCGAAACGATTAGAAGCGTGGCATTGATTAATGATGCCCATATATTGTTTTATTCATCGAAGGAGCCACTGCTAGTACGAAAAGCTAAAGAAATTTTGCATAATGCAGGATTTGGAAATGGTGTAGTTATTAAAGAAAAAAATACAAACAATACTAAACCACTGTCTATTCCTAAGGGATCCGATTCTTGGGAAAGTATTGCAATACCTAGATCTACAATGGAACAGGTCAGTGTGCAAATCCCAAAACTTATCAATTTTTGTCTTTACAGTTTAATATTGCATGTAAGGTATTGCTGGTTAAAATATATTTATTTATTTACGTGGACCCATGCTGCAGCTACATAAGTAGTATAGTTGTAGCTGCAATGGGTTGGCACGACCGGGGAAGTACCACGTTCTCACAGAATACCAGCGTAAAATAGTAGCTTAACGCTGCTGTGTTTCGTATGGTGGGTGTAGAGAACCGGAGACCCCCTTTTACTGGAAATGAGGCATTCCATTTAAGTCCTGAAAGGGGGACAACGAATCTGTATTTTGGTTCGTAATTGAGGAAAGATGTAGATGTCTATGTACCATAGCGACCACTTAGGAGGCGTTCAAGTATTACGTAACGCATTTTTAATACCCCCATGTTACGCGTCGTAACGTTTTTCTATACCCCCCCCTCCCCCCTCCCTAAACGTTACGTAACACCCCAAGTGATCATTTTTTCAAGTTATAATTATGTGGTGCAAAGTATCGGAAAGTCGCTCAAATACCTTTGTTATTGTTTAATCACGTTTGCGGTAATAATAAATATACGAGATTTTTAAGTCGCAATACATGCGTATATTTTTTATTTTATTTATTCATATGATTATTTAATAAGCAGTCACACATAATGTAATAAGCATTCGCTTAAGTTTAAAACATGTTAAAATGGGCTCTAATTTATCCTAATAAACTTTTGCCACTATAAAAAAAATCTTACATTTAATTACGCCGTTTTCCTGATTTGCCCTAACCTTACGTACATTTTGACTTCAACCACCATTGTTCTTCTCATGCATTCTCCTGTTTTAGCTTGTTTTTACTAATAAACTCTAAAAATAAAATAACATATTTATTTAAACTTTTGGCAATGCAACTAGAAACGTACGTAAGTTACAGAAATAAAACATTTTAGTCAAAAGAAAATAGTATTCTTAACAAAAAATTTAAAATAAAATCAACTATAGTAAATCAAATAAGTAAGTATGTAAAAAAACAATTCAATTGGAGTTACTGCTCTTTTGTCCACGGGTTTGCCAGCCACCCAGACTCTTTCATTACTGGCATCAGGAGAGCAGCCGAAAAGGGTTGCGGAATTGTTAAACCACTTGCATCAACTTCGTCTTCGTCGAGCCAATTGGCATTCTCAGACGATATTTTACAGCTCATTCGTCGTCAAGTCAAGTCACTTTGGCCATACTCTACTTTCACGACGGTACTGATGAGCAAAAGAAATCAAAAGGCAGCTGCTTAAAACCTTCTAGCGGAGGCGATAGATCAATAGAAAACCTCCAAGAACCTACCATGAAGTGGTAAAAACTTGCACGATAGTTTGTCTAGCTAACTGAATGTACGACGAGTTTGCTTGGGGTTGAATAATTGGGTAGGGTGGTGGCAGGAAAATATCCGGATAGACAGATTTCAATGCACTCCTCGAGCGGGAACAGCAGGAGTCGTCCGCGCGTTTTATCACTAGTAATAAATGCTGCAAGTTATCCTCGGGCTTTCTGTATTCTGCAATATGCTTCTACGTAAACACCAACGAATATTGATAACGAAAACAAAATAAAAATGACGTACAATACAGTGAGGGATTCCGCGTAAAACATAAACGAAAGAGGTTGCCAATTTGGGAGATTTTAATTTCCTAGATTTTTATTTTAATAAAAAAAACAATGTTACGTAATGCGTTGTTTGAACCGCCCCTGTAACGCATCGTAACTTTTTACAAAACCCCCTCCCCCCAAATTGCGTTACGTGATACTTGAAAGCCCCCTAATCAGGTGGACTCTGCGCTCATTTGTCACCCTTATCCTATTAAAAAATATATTTATATACAATAAATTTAGCCTTAAAAAGGGGTCGTAAAGTATCGAAACAAGTGCCAAAGCATAACATATTTGGTCGCACTGGCACTGTGCCTCAGCGCTGCAATAAAAAAATCATAGTAATAAATGTTATTTTTACTTTAAGTAGCACATGTTTTTTTCCTATAATTTGCTAAATATACAGTAAGTTTATAAAATCTAGCGATGTCAGTGTCCGAATGGACTGGAAAAACACTGCATTGTTTACGTTATTTATTCATTGTTTTTATTTTCTAACGAACGATATATATACGATATGTGAAGCCTGCTTTCGGTGAACAGAGGTCAAAATTGTTGTTACCCGACGTATTTTTATGTTTTTTTTTCTAAAGGAAAACATAACAGAATCAGACCAAGGTACCTAAAATCACGACCACGTGTCGAATTTATAAATTAGAATAACAAAGAAATAAATTTTCTGTAGACTTTTTGTATTGATTAATTATATGCGGAATTAGTTTAATACCTACCGTGTAGTGGCGGCGTAAGAATATCTACTACCTTATATTTTTTATATAATTAAGGTGACAAATTAGCACACAGTCCACATGATGGTAAATGGATGTTGTGGTCCATAGAAATCTACATTTAACCTCGATTAAGAGTTAAAATGTAGATGCGTTGTCACTCCGGAGGACTAAGATAGAATGCCTCGATACCAGTAAAACCGGTCTCTGGTTTTCTATACTCACCATACAAAACACTGCAGCATCAAGCTGCTATTTTAAGCTGGTATTCTGTGAGAGCGTGGTCCTACCCCGGTCGAGCCGACCCTTTCGTGGCACAACTATAATATTGCTGCAGCGTGGCTCTACCACGTTTAGACATATACATATATAGACACGTATCGTCCCGTAAGTACCGTGCGGTCCCGTCGATATCGCACGAGGCGTTAGGGGGAAACAAACTAGGAGATGGACAGCAACGTATTCCTGATAACTAGAAAATGAAAAACTACGGTTGCCAATTCGCCTGCTAAGCGTGGCATCTATGGCAGATAACCATCTTATGAGGCAATCCGTGCTGAGGCCTATGTTCAGCAATGAAGTTGAATAGGCTTAAATTAATATAATATGGAATAGACGTGTGTTTGGAGTCGAGTCTTTGTTTAACAAACTCTCACTCGGTCTCACATGGAATGCTGTGATGCATTTCTGGGCCGAAGCACCCCACTACCAGCATCATCCACTTGACGGCATCCAGTAAAGAGCAGTCCGAATCGTCGACGGCCAAGTTCTTTCTGATCGCCACGATTCAGTGGCGCTGCAAAGAGATGTTGCATCTCTTTGCCTCACCACAGAGAGTGCTCAATGAAATTCTTCGAATTAATTCCAGCCGCCAAATTTCATTGTGGCATATATTATATATTAATCGCACGAACGTACAAGTACTCTACACCATCCGGATGGTAATAATCAACCCCTGTGTAATTTGCTAGAAATTTTCTTCCTTACACGACTTCTTTGTGGATTCGGCTACCACCAGATATTTTTCCTGGCCGATACGTTTGAGGGACCTTCAAGAAGTGAACTTACTTCTTTTTATTGGGTCAGTAATGCACCTTCAACTTGTTTGTTTAACACTTAACATCAGTTAAGCCGGACGTGTTATTATTACATCTCGTCAGAGAGTGCATTGAACTATCAGTGGCGAAGCTAGAGCTCCAAGCTAGAGCAAGCCCAAGATATAAATTGATAAAAATATAGATTGTTGTTTTTAGCAGTTTTATAAAAATACACCAATCTTGATCTGTCTCCACGCTTCAGTTTCATATTCAGTGCTGTCAAGGACCTGTTTAACAAAGCACACAGAAGACATACCACTGCTAGATAGATTGTATTGCATATCAGCAATTGCATAGCTTCGGTGGCTTTGAAGAAAGCCGTTTGGATTTGTTTAAGCGAAAGAAAAAAAATATTTACATCCAATACAATACATGAACAAAAGTAAAACACGAACAAAGTACAACAAACTATGTAGGTACAAAATTAAAAAAAAATTATTTACATTCTAATGGATAAGAGATAAGATAAGATAAGTGGAATCGTCTCGCTTTCTTATGGAAAGATTTAATTACGTCCACGTAAAATGTTGGTGAACGTTTTAATTGTACCAATAACTGTTTTTAATTGCGATAATTGATGTCTGAAATACACTCTTAACCTTGTGTATTATCTCAACAAAGTTTAAAGATTTCCTCTCCGATTATCACTTTAACACACTTCAATTCATCACAAGGAACACTATTATCCTCCATTTTCATTAAAAATCTTTAAAAAAAGCATAAATTTTGAACTCGTAATATTAAATCGCTTAAGATAAGCACACAGAGTAAATAAACATTGAAACGTGAAATGAACTTGCAAACGTATTGCCCGCGCGCCTCCGCTTTTAACAAATTTATTCTAGGCATGTCGATCTAAAATCGATTAATCAAAAAATCGATTCTTTGGAGTAAAATTATCGATTTTTAGATCGATTCGAAGCACCGCATCGATTCACTGAATCGATTCAAAAACCTATTGAATCGGACTGATTCATCTGATTCAAGAACTAGCTAAAATTTCCAAACTAGCTGGGGTAAGATACCACAGTTTTTTAATTTTTTTGCTGTTGGGGGACGCAAAAACAACCGGTCGTACTTGGTTGATAATTTGAAAGCAATATATATTTGAATAAAATAAATGTTTATAAACGCATCCAACAATATCGAAAAGTTGTCATTTCATTTTCATTTCTAAAATTCTTAAGCCCACTTTCCACTAAGGGATATAATGTAATTTAATATTACATCTCGAGATATATATTAATATCGCTCACCGTACTTTTAAATAGAACCGTTTCCACTGAGGTGTAATTTATATTACATCCCAAACTATAAATATTTTTTCGATCGACCGAGCGATATTTTTATATTATATTTCAGCTCCTGTGCTATATCCTGTGGAATATAATATAATATTATAGCTGTGACCCTGTTTGAACTGTGAACTTGTGAATTTACATTATTTATTATCAAAAATATACATACTGTGAGCTGTAAGTACAGACAGAGTACTTTTTAAATACCTAGATACTGTAAAAAATATTATACCGTACGTTGAAGTTTATAGAGGTTTATTGTAAGGAAATAACCAGTATTGTGTTCGTGTAGCATTCATTTCAATATGATAAATAGTGAGTTATTAGATTGAAACAGATTTATCGAGAAATGTACGTTGCAGTTTGCACTTTTGTAAAAGTATTGTTGTTGTTTTTAGCCTAAAATGTCAAATAAAAGTGTTACGTGGAATCACTTTGTAAAAAAAAGGGATCGAGTGGAGTATGTGCGAACCACTCCTAACACAAGCGTTTCAAGCTTACCAGGAGTGGTTAAAAGGAATATTAGTAATGTTAATGAATAAAATATTATTTTAAAAAAATATTACAGTTTAGAAGTTAAAGAAAAAAAATTGAAAATTCTTGAAATTTCATGTTTGAAAATGTCGCGATTAATCGAAAATCGATCTTTTATTCCTCGATTTAATCGATAATCGATTCAAGTACCTTCGATTCAAATCGATTCAGAGATCGATTTTTTTAAGAGTGAATCGACATGCCTAATTTATTCCCAAAAGCCTGGCTTCTCTATACTGTATATATACAATCGTAGTTATGTTTCATTATAGAATATTTTGCCATAGGTTAGAAAGAGAGCGATCATCTTCTCGAAAGCCCCGTAAAAAAGCCCACGCGAGCGAGGGAGACAACTATTAGCTCAATTAAAACTCATTTTTTATGACAGCAGCAGTATCGCTAAGGCAATGGGTGCGTTTGGCAGAAAAAAGCGCTAGCAAGCGCTTGTAAGCAAAATGGCGATCGTAAGCGGTAAGCGCTGTCAAATCTTAAGTAGCTATTTTCCTCCAGGACACGATGTTAGTTTTAACCGGGGAATCTAACCTAATTTAAATATATGTTTGTAAAGTATTCATATTAAAAACTTACCAATCATGAGTTTTTAATAGCATGTATATGTTTATTCATGTCATTATATTACTTAAAACTAATATTGCACAAAACAACTTATAAACTCTACTTCAAAACAAACAAATTAAATAAGCAAAATGGCGGATTGTGTCAGCGCTACTGAAGTAGCAATCGTGTCCTGGCCGACAACTATTTTAGCGCTTATAAGCGCTTGCTAGCGCTTTTTTCTGCCACAGCAGTAACGCACCCAATACGAGGTCATCGGTCGACATGCGCGGGAAATTTGAAATAGCTTGAAACATTTTACGAGTTATTTTATTAGTTGATATTATTGATTGATTCAGGTTTAATAAGGCAAGCCCGGCTTTTCGGCTTTAATGGAAGCTTCGCCACTGGTACTATGTTCCTTAATTCTTACTTATTCTAACTTAAAGTATTTATTCTTTAATTATCTTTAGTTACTTTTTGTAGCGAACTCTTATTTTAATTTTATTGCTTAATTAATAATTGTCGACGCCAGATAGTCAACAGTCGACCCTATTGAATTTTTATAAGGCGCTTAATATAATGTTATTGTATAGAGTCATACACCAACCGTACAATCAACCAATCACACTGCACAAATACTCAACCCGTCATTCCCCACCCACACCCGACACTCACATTCGTTCTCACATTCCCATTCTAACCTCCGAACAAACAAGACACAAGCACCATAGGTACCAAGAATAATGTAATTAATAAAACTAAATTCAATCGAATAAATCTTTCAAAAGATCTACGATATCTTTCTTTTGTACATCGCGAACAATAATTTTTGAAACAAAAGAAATAATTAAAGCGCTGTGTTTTTACACAGATCTTTTTTTTGAATAAAATTATTAATGATCCTAACACTACCAATTTCTCAGGTTAAGATGCGACACGTGACACGGATACAACTTGAAGTAGAAATTCAGGCGAATGATAAGAATGAACTACAACGTACACATCCTGAACCAATTTTAGATTCACTCGCTGCACTAAAGTATGAAGAAATTCGCAATATGGAACTATTTGACCCCGCTATTAATGATTATTTAATGTGCTTATAATATAGGTAAATACATAATATGCATATCTACAAGTAATAATAAGAAAAAATTATTAAATAATAAATAACAGTACATTATAGATTTTTTATATACCCGAAAAAAGCAAAAAAAAATGAAATTTAATCGATATCGTCTTCGGAGTTCTACGATGTTTATATTTACTAGGCGCAAGGCAGTGTTTCGGACAAGTTTAGGAAAGAAAAAGACGACAGGCCAACGTCACTGTGTATATATAATATTTCACAAACTTCAAAGCCAGGTCGGCAGTATGTATATCACACAAACCACTTCAAGCTACTTTTAACCACTTATAACTTAAAACTTATTATAAAAGACCTACAAACCTATAATCCCCAATTTCATTCACAACCCTTAGTTTTTGAGTTGGAGCATCGACCGTGATGTACTTGACATGACTTTTTTCACTACAAACCTTTTTGTTAGAGCAATGTTCAGTGCTTACATCACCTATAATTTCATGAATTTATTTAGAAATTCGTTACATTAATTTTATTTAATATACTATGCATACGCGAAAATATGATATACCTAAGAAGTTATTAATAGATATTAATTCAAATTTATTTAAGGAAAATAATTAATGTACATAATACAAGGTACAGAGATTATAGTGCTGAAAACATTTGTACAACACGTTTACTTAATTAACAGTTTTTAATATTTGAAGAAGATACTCGCTAAATAAAATATTTAAAAGCAAAAAAAATCTCAACCATAATTTGATTCATTTAATGTTTTCTTGCTCGTAATCGGGTTTCTAATGCCCTTAACGCTTGTCTCACATATTCCTTTTCAAAAATTGCTAGACTTACTTGTAGGCATCGTCTTGCTAATATCGTGTCGCCAGTAGACTGAAAAGTAAATATTAATATTGAAAAATTTAAAATTTTGCAAATTTAGTGTACGCCAGAACGCATTACACCACAGAAATCTAAATGATAAGGCAATAGAAGTCGTAGAAACGCGTGACCTTATCGCCGCACATGTGACTCCTAGGCCACAAGTGCGCGAGGAGCGTTTGTTTCGGTCACCAGTGTTGTTTCGGACGCAGGAACGTAAAAGTGGTATTTTCCAACTGCGAAAATTCTTCCACAACTTGTACATTTTCAAATAAACGGATAACATTTCATAAATAAGGACTTAGTGTTTTAAATAATGTTTTTTTTTAAAGAAATATACTTAAATAAAATTATTCACCTCCAGTACTACGATTGTCTCCGAAAATGTAATTGTTTTCACATTTCAATATCCAATGATTCTTAAGCTAGTTCATGTACGTAGTTCATGTAAGAGTACGACAGCTAAAAGCAGCGATGGATTTAGTATGGGAAATAAACAATATTGTCGCGTACGTAAATTTCCAAGAACCCGGCCGCAACAGTCGAGAACGAGCCAGTGACGTGACACTACTATTTTGTATTGATTGTTTATTGTTTGGCTTACCTAGTTTTAGCGAAATGGAAATGGAATGTGATTTTTCGTTACATATTTATTTAAACCTTCTCTATTTTTTTATCTTCCTAAATATTTTATACCGTTAACTGTTTATCAGCGAGTATCTGTTTGTTTATACTTTTAAATTACTTAATAAATTTTTATGCCGTTTTTAATATACTATAAGAATAAGTAATTATATTGTAAGGATAGTAGACTAAATTCGATCTGTAAGAAGCCGGGTAACTGAAAAATAACAAATAACAGAAAGTCAGTTACAGATCTTTAAAACTAATAATATTGATAACGCAAACATGTATTAATTTGTATGTTGAATGAATATCACTTATTTTGTAAAACAACTTTTAGGTTGTGTACGTACATTACACATTCAGAAATGTATTGAGAGGCCAAAGTTAATTTATTAATTTCCTTGAATTTTTGTCTGAGCGACTCTTTAGGTTTTAAATCATAGATTGCTCTAATGGCCCTCTTCTGTAAAACAAATATAATTTCAGTATCAGTCGAGTGTCCCCATAGAAAAATACCTTAAGACATTACGCTATGGAAATAGCTAAAGTAAACTAGTCTAGCTGTTTCAACGTGGTAAGACTTCTAATATTTTTTACAGCATATGCTGCAGAAATAAGTCTGCATACTAGTTTTGATAAATGGGGGCGCCATTAAAGCTTTGTGATTTCAAGAAAAATTGTGGTTGTGACAAGACTCAGCTCCTCTCCATTTAAAATTACATTAGTATTCAGAGTAATGAATTTCATACATTTAGTTTTAGTGCCATTTAAATGAAAATTATTAACACTAAACCAATTTACTAACTTAAATAAAACGTTATTTACATAAGCTCATACTCATACTCATAATTAAGCAACTGTCTTTTTAATTCGAACATTAATGTAAAGTAAGCCATTAATATATACTAGAAACAGAAAGAGGCCAAGAATTGATCCCTGAGGCACGCCCATTTATACTATTGACCCAGAAGAACTCATACATACTATTAATGACAAATTTTTACTTTCTGTTACTTAAACATGAAATAATTAATTTAAGAGCATCATTTCTTACACCGTAGTGTTAAAGTTTCCTGATTAATGTTTCATGGTAAACACAATCGAAGGCTTTGGATAGATCACACAATATACCCAAAACATCCTGTGAATTCTTCCATGCATTGAATGTATATTTAATCGGCTCAACACCATCATCAGTTGTCGAGCGACCCCTTGTGAAATCGAAATGATTTTTATGTAGTAAATTATTTACATTAAACAAAATTACATTTGATCAAGAATAATCCAAAAAAATTTGCTAAGTATAGGCAGTACAGAAATAGGTCTAAAATTTGGGGTTTCAAATTTTTACCAGTACTTTACTATACTTCATTCAATTAGGAAACACAGCAGAAAAAACCATTGCAACGTCCTGATCTGATTTAGTTAATTTATTGTTAAACCTTAACTGGTAGTTTGACTGGCGAGATTTGACCTTACCAGTTTAACAATTAATTATAGTCCATGTCATTTTAAATTTTATTAGAATCAGTCTTTATTTTGTTGCTCAAATACAAAAACTTGGCTATGAAGCACGCTCTTTTTAATATGTATGCGCAATGCGCTCACCGCATTTTTATTGGTATACCTCACCGCTTGCTGTTAGGCTTCAAAAATAAATTCTGTACTTTAATACTTAAGAAAATTTTTCTTACCAATGCAACGTGTCCAAGGTTAAACCATATATCAGCCTTTGATGGCGGATCCGCTGAAAAGAATAGAGCCTGCCGAAAGCAAGGTAAAATAAGATCCCATTGGCTGCAGTAAAAGCAACAAAGGCCAAGGTTATTGTAAATTTCTGAGCCAGGTGGAGTTGTAGCGAGCAAACGTCTGAAAATAATACGCGTCCTATGTATATCTTATATTACAGATATTGAAAAATGTGATCTGGGTATACATAATGTAAAGTGATTAATGATATGACTGATTGTATTGTTGGCCATTTCGTTTTTTGATATTATGTTATTCAATTTTATTTGTGTGTTGTTGTTTGTGTGTTTATTTCCTTATTATGGATGCATTCAATAACTACATTTTTTTATAGAAGAAGAGATAGATGAGCTTGAGACTCACCTTGGTCTCACGGATGACGATGCATCTGCATATTGAATCTTAATCAAAGATAAATGTAGATTTCTGTGGGCCACAGTATCCACTTACCATCAGGTGGTCTGTGTGTTCGTTTGTCACCCTTATTCTGTAAAAAAATCCTGATAGTAAGTGACAACCGCCGAACAACTGCAACACCTAGGGAATTGTAGATGCGTTGTCAGCCTTTTAAAAATAGAAAGTTTGTTTCTTGAAGGTCCCCAAGTCGTATCGTTAGAAAAGTCGCACACAGAAGTCACTCGAGAAAACTCCTAGCATAAATCGCACAATAGTGGACCGCCATGATGTGGTGACATGATTTTGTTGATGTACGATGTAGTTGTTGTTTATTTTTATTGTAGGTACCTTAATTTGGTATTATTTATGCTAATCATTAATATAAGTTTCGTCGTGGCATCAACGAAACAACACACTGACTACTAGTGTTTCGACCTAAATAATACCAATAAGAATCGCAACGTATACTTCGATAGTTTAAATATTTGAATTCTGCGTGATCTACGACCAATATATAATGATTTATGTAAATCTACTATTGAAGTAGCAAATTTTGATGGTACAGTAGAACTATCAGGTGGTAGGATTTCTTTTATGCCTATGAGTTCCTCTGGGTAAAGGTACCACTCTATTACCTATTTCTGATGCTTAATATTCTGCCGCGCACTGTTGTAGTCCGATCTGAAGGATATGGAGAGCCAGTATAATAACAGGCTGTAAGCCATTAGGTACGTCTCAGTCGTCAGACATGATAATGCACCTGTAGCCTTCTTAGAATTTGGTTGCAGGTTTTCACTGGATACAGTAACCATTACCAGCAAGTGGACTATACATTAATTCGTTATTTACTACAACTTCATCAAAAAATTTTGTGTTTGATGTTTTGTATCATACTATCTCTTAAATATACAGTCAGCGTGATCTGTAAGGCGTGGGGCTAGCAATCTGTTTTACACGGCATCCTAGTATATAGACAGTCTCTCACAAATTAAACTCTTTAACATCTATCATAGCTAATTTGTAAGAGAAAATAAATGATAATTATTATCATTATTGTTATACTTCCGTAGCAAGTTATTTCATGTCCTCATTCAACTCAATAGACCGTAAACCATACCATACCATAAACCATAGGAGGAAAGATTTTTCGTAATTGCCACACAGGCAGACGGAACGGAACAAGGGGAACGGTAACATTCGTCTCACATGTGTGATGTTGCTTGGTGTCGCCGCGCCGCGCCGGTCTGGATATTTTACATCTGATATAAATATAAAATTAACCTTATTCTTTAAAAATAAGTATGGATAATATATTTATAGCTATCTATCACTGGTCCATGGTGAACATCTATATGGGATTTGATTAGACGATTTATACTAATATACACACATCAGATGATAAATTATAATGTACAAAATATTAAATTCATAATATAAAAGCTGGAATAACGCTAAATACCGAATCCATACAAGCAAAGTTGTCGGAAAATGATATCGTTAATAATTAAAAGAAAACTAACTAAACTATACCTACTAACTAAAAGTTTAAGAGTCATGAAATTGTAACAAACACACAAGTTGGCTAAACAGTTTGATCAGTTTAACACGTAGTATGTAGGTGATAGGCCAAGCTACAAATATTTTAAATAATCTCGATATCTCGGGCTATCTTTAGTCTACCTGCTTCGGGGGAAAGATTAAATAATCTTTATTAACTGATATATAAGTCAGTGTTATCCTGTTGTTTTAGAGAATAAATAATAGATTAACTTACCTGTAATAACGCATCGCTATTTCTGGTTGATCGTTGTAAAAATTATACATAGCAATATTGGCAACAGCTTCCATATTTGATGGATCTTGTAAAGCGACCATTCTATAATCTTTCACTGCAACAGCGGAGTTACCCATCCGCTCATTGATTCTAGCCTGTTCTATAAGTAAAGACGGGTACTCGTGGAAAACCGATAGCCCCTGTTTACACACATCTAGAGCCGAAATAGGCTGATTCATAGCAACATACAGAGCTATTAAACGAAGATAAATACAAATATGTTTAGTCAGTTTAAGTGCTCGACGAAGACAATCATCCGCTTGTCTGTACATGCCAAGCGTATAATAACATCGGGCTAGGGAATAATTCCACCACCAGTCAACCGTAAGATCGGTCTTCTGCGCTTGAAAGGCGATGTCCATAGCCTGTACAAAAATATTTTTTGTGTTGATACTTGCAGTGATATAAAGCTTACAAATTTGTCAAATTACCTTGCGGATGTCTCCTTCACAATAAAACACATACTCAAACAAGGTTTTTGCGACAGGTATAAAATTTTTATCCTCTTTTGATAAAATTCTAAGCGATATGGGTGCGTTATATGCTGGGCCTCCAGCTATAGCGGTAGCAGCCCTGGATGCGCGTGACGCTGTGTGCAGTGCTGTCCTTGCGCTATATGCTCGTGCTGTGTGAGCATTAACTCCAGTTCTCAGAGTAGCAGTTGCAGAAACCCGTTTCTAAAAGTGTAATAGAAGAAATCGTTATTACATACGAAGAACATAATGGATTAAAAGTTAAAATAAAACGAGAACCCCCTAATATTTACTTATTGTTATATAATTAAGCATTTTTGATAATATTATTGTTACGAGCTTAGGGTTCTTGACAGTAAAAACTGCCGATTGAATTACCAAAATTGACACTTTAGCTACTGAACACCAATTAACTTAAATCACACTAATAATTATTCACACTTAACACGTCACGTTTAGTTCACTTTATTTCACTCCGAAAGCTTTGCTTTTCCAATTCAATACTGCCCCGGCTTTAAATACACTTTTACACCGAAACATCCAGAATATTCCAGTAGATACGGGCGTCGACCGACCAGACGCAGAAAGTTCGAGTGTGGGGCTTCTAGAAAGCTTAATTCTTCTGTTCGATACTAGATGGCGCTGTTGGTCGAAAGTCAAGATTGACATTTTCTAGGAAGCCCTCCTCGCTCTGGTCCCCGACACTAGATGGCGCTAGTGCCAGGTATCTGACGTCAACTTAGGCGCAACACTGCCCCCCCCCCCTAAGACATGCTCATCCCGAGCATTATCGGTCCCATAATAACGCGCCAGGCGATCCACATGGACGATCTTAGGAGTCCCTCTTGCGCCTTTCTGTATCCGGTAGGTTACATCGTTGATCCTGGTCACAATCCGGTACGGGCGGTTCCATTTAGCTTGAAGCTTAGGAGATTTCCCTTTGCTGTGGACTGGATAGTGCAACCATACTAGTGAACCTTCGTCGAACCCTTTGTTGTTCATTTTGCGGCCGGGTTCTCATCTTTTCAGACATTTGCTGACCCGATTGTCTGACGTGCTCATAAATGTCATTCATTTTGTTCCGCAAATCATTTGCATAATCGGTTGTACTGCGTGGAGCATCAGGTGGTATCCCGGTCATCAGGTCTGCAGGCAGCCGTAATTCTCTTCTAAAGTTTGCGAAAGCTGGTGTCGCTTATGTACTTTCGTGAACAGCGCTTCGATATGACAACAAAAACGGTTGTATGTGCTTGTTCCAATCTCGTTGCCGGTTTTCTACAACTTTTGCTAGGTACCTCTCCAATGTCTGATTAAATCGTTCTACCATTCCATCAGGTTGCGGGTGATAAGAAGTCGTTCTTGTTTTATAATTACCCATAACTCGGCAAGTTTCCTGGAATATTTGAGACTCAAAATTCCTTCCTTGATCACTGTGAATCTCTAAAGGTACTCCAAAACGACAGAAGACTTCATGAACTAGTTTATCTGCAACTGTTGAAGCTTCTTGATTTGGAATGGCGAAGACTTCTGGCCACTTAGTGAAGTAATCCATCACAACCATGAAATACTTGTTACCGCTTTCACCTCTCCGGAAACGGCCACGCCACGTCAATGGCTATTCTCTCCCATGGTGCACCAACATTGTACAACTTTAATGCACCTCTACGTCGAGACTGAGGTCCCTTTACAGCCGCACAACTTGTACATTTGCGACACCAGTCCTCGACATCGTTTCGACAGTGGACCCAGTAAAACCGTTCTCGGATCTTCAGTAGAGTTCGTTTAACTCCCAGATGGCCTCCTGAATAATCATTATGGTACAGCTGTAGAACATCCGGTACTTTAGCTTTAGGGACAACCATTTGCAAATGACAGCTGTCTCCCAGAACATTTTCCCATTTATGGCACAGAACTCCGTCCTGAAGCAGCAAGCTATCCCATTGGGCCCAATAGCTTTTAGTGGTCGAACTCATCGCTGAGACGTCGCTCCACTTGGGCTTGGGAGCATTGGCCTTCATCCATTCCAGAATCGGCTTGATATCCGGATCTTCCGGCTGTGCATGTTGTCAGCTGTCCTTCCACTCATTGCTAAGGTGGTCTGTCGAGGAAGTCTGTCTAAGGAAGTGGTATCCTCACGGATACCACTTCCTTACTCTCTTGCCTAGTACAATATTTGCAATTTCCGGGACAAGGTCTTCTTGACAATGCATCTGCGTTGCCATGAGATTTCCCGCTGCGATGTTCGATCTCAAAGTCGTATTCCTGCAATAGTTCAATCCACCTCGCAACTTGTCCTCCTAGATTTTTAAACTGCAATAGCCATTTTAGTGCAGCATGGTCAGTTCGTAAGTGAAATTTTCGCCCCAGAAGATATTTGCTAAAATGCTGCAACGACTTTACCACAGCTAGCAATTCGCGTCTTGTGAAACAATAGTTCCTTTCCGGTTTTGACAACGACTTGCTGAAGTACGCTATCACGACCTCTTGGTCACCATTCCGTTGAGACAACACACCTTCAAGTCCTATATCACTTGCATCTGTGTCAACTATAAATTCTTTGCTTGCATCAGGGTATCCCAAAATAGGTGTTTTGCACAGACGCTCCTTGAGTTCCTGGAATGCGATATTGCAACTTTTATCCAGCAGAAATGTCGCTTCTCCTCGGTTAGCTTGTGCAGAGGTTTGGCTATATCTGCGAAGTTCTTCACAAATCGCCGATAATAGGAGCACAAACCCAAAATGCTCTAACCTGCGTCTTTCTTTTGGGACCGGCCAATCCTTGACAGCGGCGATTTTCTCCGGATCCGTGCGGATACCTTCTTCCAACACTACATACCCCAAAAATTTGATTTGCCGTTTGAATAGTGAACATTTCTTCGGACTCAACTTGAGGTTGGCACTCTGAATCTTCATGAGCACGCATTCCAGGTTTTGAAGGTGTTCCTCAAACGTACGGCCCACGGTGATGATGTCATCCAAGTAGACCAGACAGGCATCGCCAATTAGCCCGGTAAGTACAAGCTCCATCAGCCTTTCAAACGTTGCTGGAGCATTGCACAATCCAAACGGCATTACTTTAAATTGCCACAGACCCTTTCCCGTCGAAGACGCAGTTTTCTCCTTGTCTTTAGGGTCGATTTTAACTTGCCAGTAACCACTTTTTAGATCCAGCGTCATAAATCACTTTACTCCTGTAAGCATGCCCAGCGTGTCATCAATTCTTGGCAAGGGATAGCTGTCCTTCTTTGTAACGTCGTTCAGACGGTGGTAGTCAACACAGAATCACATGCTGCCGTCCTTCTTCTTTACCAGCACCACGGGTGAACATCATAGACTAGATGAAAGTTCAATAACACCATCCTTCACCATTCCCTCAATCATTGTTTCCACTTCCTTTTCACGTGCTACCGGCAATCTTCTTGGTGGCTGACGGATAGGCAATTCTTCTCATGTGTTTATTTTGTGTTGAAGGAAGCCAGTCTTTTCTTATGTCAGCATCGTTTAATGAGAATACATCGGCATACTTGAGTAACAACTTCTTCGCCTTGACCATTTCGTTCGGGGAGACAACGCTGCGACAGTCTTCCAAAAGTATGGTCACTCTCGTTTGTGCATCCTTGCTGGGGGTCCCACTCGATAGATATTGGCACCGACGTAACCAATCCACTTCCTCACATGTACCAACCAGTGTGCCTTTTTCTATAATCTGTTCCTGGTCACACAGGTTCAGCACACGTACTCCTGAGATGTCAGTGGTTCTGACCAATGTTCGAGCTACTTTCCATGGAAGGTCATTGTTTACCCTTTCCACAAGTACACAGCGGTGCGCTTGCCCAGGGTTCCGAGAAAGACTAACCGGCACAATCGTTTCCGATCTCGGCGGAAGAACAATCTTCTTAATGCTGTACACATTCCCTGGTAACTCACCTTCCATAAAAAGTTCCTCCTGTCCACATTTCAAAACACCTTACTTAACGTCGATCTCACAACAATTATTCCTCATAAAATCTAGGCCCAGGATGCAGTCGTCCATTACACCAGCCACGATGACATTATGCAGGTAGATCATGTTGCCTAGCTTCAACTCCATCTCCTTCTCTCAGCGGACGGCTATACGCTGACCGGTGGCTGTTACCAAATTAATGCGTTCTCGGTTGTATGCGGAGTCCCCAAGGAACTGACTTATAAGTTGGGAACTAGCAACCGTACGAGAGGCTCCAGTGTCTATGGTCAGTTTACACGGCATTCCGTTGACCTCGCCTTTGATGATTAGACTGTTCCCATCATGGGTTTGTGAGATCGAGATCCTTGGGGCTCTTTTAAAATCAGCCAGCACCCGCCAGTTTCCCTGCTGCTGCTGGGCGGTGCTGTTGGCCGCACTACCCTCCTGAGATCGTTCACCTTCTCTTTCTAGGGTTCGCTTAGGGCAGCTGGATCGAAGATAGCCCCTTCCCCACAGCCATAGCACCTAGGGCTTTATCCTTTATTGCGATGGCGAACTGTAGCTGCTGCAACCTCCCTGACGCGACGGGAATGATGATACTGCCGCACGTCTTCAACCTTAAGTGCCAAGGGGCCAAGGCTTCCTTAAGCGTCACATGGTGCCCGAGCCTCACAGCAGCTTTGACTTCAAGGTCGCGGATGCCATGATGATGGTGATTGCATGATGAGGATGATGATGAATGTATGCACCAGGTTCCCTTCAATGAGCGCAGGTACAGACCGGTATGCTTTTCGCACCAGCTTCTTCACCTCAAGGGCCCACTGCTGCAGGGTTTCGTTGATGCGTTGCACGCGATCTCTAAGCTACGCTCGAAAGACGTGTTCCAGGTGAGCGTCGCCATAGCTAGCCTCCAATGCCTCGAGAAGCTGCTCGTAAGTCACTTCTTTACCGAGAGCTTCTAGAACAGATAAGGCCTGGTCGCGTAGACCTAGTGTGAGAGCAGTCATGGCCTGACTTTTATTTCAGCCGTTCACCTTCATAACGGCTTCGAACTGGATTTTGTAAGCTGACCAGGAAGAAGTCCCGTCGAATGGCGGCATCTGGAACCCACGTAGCGAAGGTGTAGTAGCTACTACGGGAGCAGTAGTTCCGTTCCCCCAGTTTGAGGTCGTCCAGCGTTTTCTTCACGTCAGCCATCACGTTGTCAACCCAATTGTTCACTTGGTTGATTCGGGTTTCAGCTTCCTCGATTCGGGTTTCAGCTTCCTCGATTCGGGTTTCAGCTTCCAAGAGGCGGTTGTCATGTTGAGCAACCCTATCCTTCACCTCCTTTATCTCCTTCCCGACGGTAGCGTGAAGGTCCTCCATGAGGAGCATCTGCTCTTCCAACCGACGGGTCTGTTCCTCTTGTCCGCACCGCAGCTGCTCTTCCAATCGGCGTACCTGTTCCGCCTGCTGGCGGGCCTGTTCCTCCTGCTGCTCTTTCAACAGACGGGCCTATTCCTCTCGTCCGCGCTGCAGCTGCTCTTCCAACCAACGCGCCTGCTCCTGCAGCATCACCATCAGAGCACCTAAGTCAGGTGCTGCAGATGCAGGAGCTACTGACGGGCCGGCCTTCCGACGTCTGCGGCGTTGCACCACCAAATTGTCTCTGGTCCGTCTCCTGCTGGCGTTGACTTCGGGTACGGCCACCCTCCATTTCGTCCTTAGGTAAAATCGGCATGATTTTATCCCACTTCTGACACCAATTGTTACGAGCTTAGGGTTCTTGACAGTAAAAACTGCCGATTGAATTAACAAAATTGACACTTTAATTACTAAACACCAATTAAAACTTATATCACACTAATAATTATTCACACTTAACACGTCACGTTTAATTCACTTTATTTCACTCCGAAAGCCTTGTTTTTCCAATTCAATACTGCCCCGATCGCGGCATACAGCGGCTTTAAATACACTTTTACACCGAAACATCCAGAATATTCCAGTAGATACGGGGGTCGACCGACCAGATGCAGAAAGTTCGAGTGTGGGACTTCTAGAAAGCTTAATTCTTCTGTTCGATACTAGTTGGCGCTGTTGGTCCTCCTCGCCCTCCTTGCTCTGGTCCCCAACACTAGATGGCGCTAGTGCCAGGTACCTGACGTCGACTTAGGCGCGCAACATTATTTATCACCGTTATTGTGAGTTTTTGATTTTTTTTCAAATTAATTCGCTTTTTTTAGTTTTAATAGTCGGATCGGATTTTACGAAAAAAAATAGATACCTGCATAACTTATGCTGAAAAAAATTAAAGCTACACGAAATTGTGTAAGAGAAGCACAAGAAAAGGAATAAATAGGTACCTAGTTAACTAACGACATTTATCAATATTATAATTTTCGGCGGTGAAAGCAGGCATGCAACCATGACTATCATAATATTTTGTTTTAAAATAAACCTTCTTTTATTCGTAACTGAAATGTTTAATTTTTAAATTGCGTATGATTACGTAAGTCAAGAAACTTGATGATATTCTTTACTTGTCTTGTCGCATTGACACCACGCATGTCCATATCATAATTCTTAAGGAGATATAAACGACTTCGACTTTAAATAAGAGTCTTGATAGCTCAGGGGCTCGCCGTAAATTTCATACTACGAGGGCGGCACTGAAAATTTCGGGAATCAAGGAAGTGACACAATATTACTATTTAAAAATGTATTTATTGCTTTACGAAGTATTCTCCGCGAAATTTGACACATTTTTCTATACGATGGAACCAATCATTGAAGCAACCATTCCATTCGGAAGTTGGGGTCTCCAAAATGGCCGATTTGTAGGCGTCCACAGCTTCTTCAGGTGATGAAAATCTCTGTCCACGCAATTTATTCTTTATTTTAGGGAAAGTATAGAAATCATTAGGGCTTAGGTCGGGGCTGTACGGCGGATGGTCTAATAATTCTATGTTTTCTTGCTCTAAAAACTTTTGTTCTGTGTGCGGTGTGAGAACTCGCATGGTCTTGATGGAGGATGATGCGGCGGTTGCAGTTCTTTTTAGAGTTCAGAAACAACCTGTGGCAAACAAATGCTAGCATACCATTCTGCATTAATCGTTCTTTGTCCCTCAAGAGGAATAGTCGTAACATGGCTGGTTTTGGCGACAAACGTGGCCACCATTTTTTTTTTGCAACACTCCGTGAACGAACAAATTTTGTTGGCTTTAACTCATTTTCGAACACCCAAACTCATGACTGGTTTTTTGTTTCGGGTTCGTACGCGTATACCCAGGATTCCCCTGATATGATGTTGTATACAGCATTTGAGGATCCTGCGTGGAATCTTTCGAGAGGTCTGACGCACCAAGTAACGCGAGCCGCTTTTTGCTCTTCACAGAGCGAATGCGGTTTCCATCGGGAAAACAACTTTTTTACACCTAATTGTTCATGCAAGATTATTTGTATTTGACTCATGTTAATGTCTAAAATTGCCTGAATTTCGCGGTATGTCACAAGTCGATATTCCTCTATCAGCTTACGCACAGCATCAACGTTTTCTTGGGTGACTGCAGTTTTTGGACGACCTTGACGGGGATCGTCACTGAGCTTGACACGTCCACCTTGAAATTCAGTAAACCAGCGATAAATTATGGTTTTGGATTGGGCTTCATCACCAAATGCAGAAATCATCCGGTCAACACACTGTTTTTGTGTTAAACCACTTCGAAAGTCATAATAAATAATCGCCCTTGAATTTTCTCGAGTCAATTCCATTTTCTCAACGACTAAACAAGTTTGACAAAACCTTGTGACAAGACCGAGAATCTTTTTTTTAAATAAATAAATTGTATTCGATTCTTAAAACCAAGGAGTTTTCAATTAAAAAGATTTTAATATGACAGGAACAGTGGAAATATTCCATTCCCGATACTTTTAGTGCAGCCTAGGTACGTACGCTTCGATCTTGTTGATCAAAGTAAGTACGCGAGTAATTCTCAACGTGGTGGTCATGCTGCAGCTATATTATATTTATAGCACAAATGCGGCGGCTCGACCGAAGAAGGACCACATCCTCACAGAATACCAGCGTAAAAATGGTAGTATGATGTTCCTGTATTTCGTATGATGAGTGTAGAAAACCGGAGACAATTTTTACTGTAGAATGTCTATGGACTACGGTATCCACTTACGTGGAATATGTGCTCGTTTGCCACCCTTATGTTCTTATTTAAAAAAATGGGATCCCCTCCGTTACTAATGAAATTGTTAATTGCAGTTTTTAAATGCTAATTTACTACGTACTTGGCGATGAAGGAGGAAATCCAGAGGAAATCTATATGTCTGAAGAATAAAATATTTTTAAGATACAAGCGAATTCCAACAACACGCACTGGTGCAGCGCGGTGATTTAATTGCTCCACAAAACTGAAATAAGAGGAGGCCTGTGCGTGCCTGTGCCCAGAAGATAGCAGTGGGAGGTGTATATAGAAAGCAACTTTATTTTTTATTTTTAAATGTATTCGTTTTTATAATACGACAAAACAGAACATGCTAATTACCGTTATGTATTCTGCTGTTATTATATATATTGACTTCAGTTTTGTGACGCAATAACGCGTTTTTGATTTTTTTTTTTTTTGGTAATATTAACTTTTGGTAAGCTTACGTTTGATTGGGTCAGATGAGCAGTAGTGATTTTCTTATCAAAAGAAGTACCAGGTCGTGGTGTTTTAGCTAAAGCAGTAGACGTGAGACTATCCTGATAAGGAAAATAATCAACTTCTTCGTATCCATTGCCTGCTACTTTCACTTGTGACGTCATTGCGCGCATCCGAATGAACTCTACCATACGATCACTTTTATCTTTCAGTACTTTGTCGCACAATTGGAGACATTCTTCGTATTGTTTAGTTCTGTATAAGTATAATATTTTGTAATCCTCAAACATTTTAATTGTTTGTATAGGAAACGAAAAACTAGTTGCATAGCAACCGAAAATATAAACAGAAACATTTTCTAGTACAGTCCGTACGGATAAAGAATGGGATTAGAAATGGCGCCTTATCCAGCAGTCCAGCACGTACCGGCGGCATGCACAGTACCAATAGCATAAACGTGCTAATAACGGTATATCGTTATAACGTTATATTATTTGGTCATCTGAAAATCTTTTAATAGGATAATATTTTAAAATGGTTTGTACAAGCAAGTAGGTACATTGATTTTAAAATAATATTTATAACTAGCGACCCGCTCTGGCTTCGCCTGTCGCCTGTCGCTATCTATTAATGTTGCTTTATTTAGACTTAAGATAATAATTAAAGGTCATTTATTTCATTTATATTTTAATGAAATCTTTAAATTTCATTGTCAAGTTGAACTGAAGTTATAGGACGTACGAAAAACGCATATCGTACCTTTCTTTTTGTAGTAATTACGGGCGGGTGAGAGTATAAATAGCGACAGTGTGCGAGCGGGAGGTAAATAAGGACGACGCCTTTTTCAATCCCATTCTTTAACTGCACGGCTAGTACACGCTGTTACGTCCGTTGACCGCATGGTCCATAGATTATTATATTTATATTAGAGAGCATAGTCATTGTATAGTACCATCCACTATACTACTCATCTCTGTGATATGTTATTTGAGTGCCCATTTAACATACTATACCAAAAGGCATAGAATTTAATGCAAAAATTTGATGGTTGGTAAGGTTAACTTGTTTAAGGGGAAATATTATAACCTCAAATGGCTTAGCAAAATCCTGCGTTATACCGAAAATATTGCAGCATTAATTTTGAAATAAATGTATGGTAAAGTTGAGGATTAATGTTAAGTACTATGTTAGACGAAAACATGATTCCGTAAAATTTTCTCGATAGAAAAAAAAATTCGGAAAAAAAAGCTTGGAACCGGGCGGCAGGAAACAAGCTTCAGGACGCCGATAGTTTAGGTAATTTCTTTTTACAGTGAAAATAATGGTAATTAAAAAAAATAAAAAACATAAGGCCTGCTTTATAGTTAGTTCAATTAGTATTCAAAGTTTCATGATCTTATTTAAAGTATTTTATGAATAACAGCGGATTATTGTTCAGCTTGTAGTTAATTTTGGATTTTTTTTCTATCGAGAAAATTTTACGAAATCATGTGTGCGTCTACTATAGTACTTAACATTAATCCTTAACTTTACCATATATTTATTTCAAAATTAATGCTGCAATATTTTCGGCATAACGGAGGATCTTGCTAAGCCATTTGAGGTTATATTCCCCCTTAAGTTGACCCATTTCTGATGAATTATTTAGTTTTAATAGCACAAATACTTCTAAAGTAAGAAAAATGATTTTGATACTCAGGTTATGAAGCTTTCTTATGCACAAAGATATGCGATAAATTTCCCGCTTATTCATATCCAAGTAGGTTCTTCAATTATTAACTTTATTCTTCTAGTTTTTTATCATAATCGTTACCGTATTGTTCTTAACTGATGGACAGCAATCGTAAACTAGTTCTTTGAACCATAGGTTGACTATCGATTCTAGGGTAGGGTGGTGTAAGATTGCGCGGGCGATAAGATTGCGCATGCGTCATTACTCGACACCGGTGCGAAACACGCTTCCAACTTCAGTTGTGTTTTAATTGCTATGCATGCGAGCATGCGCTCCCGAAACAATATTGAGATACTAAAGAAAACGGGAAGTCCAAATGAAATCAAAGTTTTTGTAACCTTCTGATTGAATTTTTTAACATTTTGCAAGTATAACTGATGAAATTGTTTGTGTTTACTGTTGAAATTTCCACTAGTGACAAAGTAGTTCAATAATTTGCTAAATGCTGGCAGTAGTCTCTATATGGTTACGTTGAAGGCCAAGTGTGTAACTTAGCGCGCGACTTTCACGTTACTACGTACAGCGAAATTCATTTATATGAATAAATAGTGTTTGTTTTCATTAGCTTTTAACGGCACTTCACTTTGTTGTAGAATTTTACGAAGACCACGCAAAAGTGACCGTAAACTTTGCACGCCTACTACTATCGAGTATGCTCGTAAACGTATTGAAAAAAGAGAAAGCAAGAGACTAGTTGTCTTTAGGAATGGCTGAACACTAAGATAACGGTTGCAGCAACCACAATGTGCAACCAAGCTAGGCAGATACTACGCTACATTTAATGCAACCAAGCTAGGCAGATACGACGCTACATTTAGTGCAGAGGTATAAAGAGTTTTCTGTGACCACTTGATAACCCTGGATGAAATGTTTTTCAACTTGACAGCCAAACAATTAAATAGCGCAGCTTCCCATTATGCGGGAAAGTATAAAATACCCCATCCTTTTCAATACACATACAAAAATTGCGAGGAAAGAGGGTTTTCGTGGATTTATGATGCGCCACTCCGAAATTATTCTTCAACAGCCAACTTCCACGAGCATTGCGCGTGCTATGGGTTCAACAGATGACAGGTTGAACGGTTTTATATGATGACTAGCTGTTACCCGCGGCTTCGCTCGCATGGCCACTGGGAAATGAACTATCCATTGCTTTTTGAATTGAAAGAAAACAGAGTTTTATAGATTTGTCAGAGATGCAGCCATTAAAAGGAAACTGAGCAAAATTGATTCGTCAGCCTATTTAAATGTTTTGAAACGCAGCGTATAGGAAAGCATGAAAATAGCCTATTTATTCCAAATGGAAATGGGATATTTTTTTAATTAAAAGAAACTGAGCATAATTATCTGTCACGGATGCAGATTTTTGAAAAGAAACTGAGCTAAATTGATTCGTCAGAGGTGCAGTTTTTTGAATTGAAAGAAAACTGAGCCAAATAAAAGATCCGTCAGAGATGCAGCGTTTTGAGTTGAAAGGAAACTGAGCTTAATAGGTCCGTCAGAGGTACAGCATTTGGAATTGAAAAGAAACTGAGCTAAATAGGAAATTGCGAATTGAAAGGGAAGATCTGTGGGAATTCTGATTAATTGATTGTGGGAATTTTGGAAAAAAAACTAACTGAACACTATTTTAAGACGCTACTGTACACAATGTTATATGTTTTTTCATTCGGGGAAAGAATGTGGAGATTCTGGGCATTTGACACACGCGAACATCATGCTACATACAGCTGACCATGAGAGAAGCACGGTTTTTCTAAGTTAACCCCCGCTACCCGTAACGTTTGCCCTTGCGCTTTATTAATCGTCATTGCAAAACTGAGCTTAATAGGGAACTGCAACCTTTTGAATTGAAAAGGAAGATCTGTGGGAATTATAGGGATCCGTGGTATAATAACATTTTTACCTTTTCCTACGCCTGTCAAAATTGTAGCACCGATTATGTTCCGTCCAAGATGTGTCACACGCAGCCTTGTCCCTACCATTGCCATTACTTTATCTTCAATTTTTCCAAGTGCTTCATTATAAATGTGTTCATTGTATGTCATGTTCGCGTGTGTCTGCTGTAACCTTCGCAAAATATCTTCCGCCATGTACTCTTTATATTTGTCCCACAATTCATGTGCATTAGATAGCCCGCAAGATGATATGAGAGTTGTATAAAGATCCCTAATTTTGGCTGGTGACTGGCACTGCACAGCTTCCTCCATGGTTTCATCCCAGTGATTATCGTTTCCCGTGATTATCGTACGTACGTACGACGTATCCCAGTGATTATTCGTTCTAAAAGATGCAGAGCTTCACATGCTTCTCTATAAGTTGCGCATTCCTGACCGTTGACAGTTTTAAGGTCTTTATATCCTGTAGGACCCCGAACATGGTGCAGCAGCAATCGTAAACAGAAACATTCAAAATTAGTTACATGGACGGTATACACACGACCAAGGGCATCTGATGACTTTACACCGGGCCGGGAATTTGCAACAGGCGCGCCTTGAATACGGCGTTTCCACTCCTTCCTAGATGTGTTCCAAGTATAATAGCGGGAGAATTCAGAATATTTTTCGTTTTTGCAAAGGGGTCGGTTTGACAAAGTTGAAAGAAGGCTGTTAGTTGTATTTTTTGGCGGTGATGCAATTCTTTCTTGGAAATTTCTTTCGGTGAAATATACACGCTCTCCGTTTTCTAAGTGCACAGCAAGGTGAGTAACTGTTGGGTGCCTTTCGTGTAAAGGGAAGCCAAGGAGACGCCACGCTGCCTCGTTACTGCTGACATAACGCCCTGCTTGAAAGGTCTGTACTTCATTAACGGGATTTTCCTCACCTTCACTCCTGAGATTAAATATTGCTTGGTCGCTTCCTTTATTTATGTACTTACAGATATACTTGATTGCGCGGACAGAGCTACATGCTTCTACATTAATGTGGGCATTAAACATTTTACATAGAATGGGCGAATACGGGACAATCCAGCTGTTATCTAAGGTTTCGAACGCTCCAGAGCGAGATTTGATTGTAACTTTCCTGCCACCATCTTCGGCAGCTCTGCGTCTATATAAAGGGTAGCCATTGTCATTGTGCACTGTTTCTTTTAATAGCTGTTTAGGGAATTTCTTTGTACATTTTCCTTCTTTCATACATGGCGATATTGAATTTCTTGCTCCACATGGACCGTGAATCATATTTCGGACGATGGTATCATACAATTCTTTATCTTGCTCAGGATCCGGAATCTCGGCGCTTATTATGTCGTCTATTTGGCTGGGCCGCAACTTCTCTTTAAGCCATATTAGAATGTGGGCATGCGGTAATCCTTATTTTTGCCAATCAATTGAATACATGAAGCACTGCACCTCTCCGAAAATTTTCCCTTTGTTAATTACATACATTAATTTTTGTACTTTTAATCTAAATACTCTAGCAACTAAATCGTGTCTGTCAGTACTTTTTTGGCCCGGCATTAGCTCCTCGGTTATTTCTTTCTATGTGGGATTGCAAGTAAAAGTAACAAAAAGATCAGGTCTTCCGTAAGTTCGTACATAGGAGAATGCGTCTTGTG